TGGTATTTAAAGGGGGGGAGAAACTTGGGGGAGGGGGCAAGCAAGGGCGGCGGCGGCAGAGTCCGAATAGGACTCGGCGGCGGCGGTGGCGCTGCACGCTGCGCGCGCGCGAGGGGTGCGGCTGGGCCGGCCGGGCCGGCTGGGCCTTTTTTTTTAAATAGTTGCGCGCGCAGAAAAACAAAGAAAAGAAAATCTAAACGAACTCCAAAATTCCCGAAATAAATTTTCCCCGACTCCTAAAAATGAGTCGAACAAAAAGAACTTTACTCAGGGCCTAGATGCAATTTTTTGAAAACATGCATTTTTCCCTAATCCAAATAAAATGCAAATAAACTCCGGAAAAATCCAAAATTTGATTTATTTATTAAATCTTCATTTTTCCTAGATTTGGGAAAGTCATATTATTCCCCCGCTCATATTTTTGATGTTGGAAAAATAATTGAAGAAGAAATAAATAAAATAAAAATGATCCTCTTTTCAAAATTTGAGAAAACTCAAATATGAAAATAACGAAATCTCCAACTCTCTCCGAGGGTCCTTGAGTTGCGTGAAATTTCTAGGATCAACCAAAATGCAAGAAAATATGGTATGCCTGATGATCTAATGTATAACATTCCAAATTGAAAATTTGGGATGTTACAAAGTTTGACCACAGTTTGACCAGATTTGACCAAAATTCCAAAAAACTGAAATAATTATTTAGTAACACTAATATTCTTGAATAAGTATTAGTAACACTAATACTTCTTGAATAAGTAGTTTGACCACAGTTTGACCAGATTTAACCAAAATAAAAAAACTGAAAATTGAGCATAACTTTTTTTCCTTTTAGAATTTGAGGATTCTAAAAATTTGCAAACAGGCCATAGGCCGTCACCATCGGACGCGGATTTTCGTGCTGAACATTTTGATATATTATACGTCTTTTCTGACATCGTATGCAAAAGTTATAGCCGTTTTACATTTTCCCTACACTTTTTGCAAAACATGTCCAAATTTAAGTTTTTAAATTTTAACATAACTACATCTCGAAGGATTTTAATTTTTAAAACATTTTGATATATTATACGTTTTTTTTCTAACATCGTATGCAAAAGTTATAGCCGTTTTTACATTTTCCCTACACTTTTTGCAAAACATGTCCAAATTTAAGTTTTTAAATTTTCCTAACTAGTAGATGTAGTAACATAACTACATCTCGAAGGTTTTAATTTTTGA